ATTATTATGATATGTATCTTATCGAAGTAGAGTAGGTTTTTTAAATATGAACATATATGAGTATTACAATTTATTTGTAAAATGATCAATCACTTTTATCATCAGGGGAGGAGTTTAAAAGAAAAAAAATTGCTATAAAAGTCGAAAATAATTGCATTAAAAGTCAGTATTCCCAATAAACATTTGAGAACTCATTCAATTATTATCAAAAAGAAACAATGAAATTGTTTGCAATCTTATTTTTATGTGCTTCCATCTACGCCGTTGGTATGCATTTTAGTGAATCAAAATAGGATTTTATTCATTCCATTTTTTTTCTAAAACAGCTGCTCAAACTGGTGGTGGTGGAGGAGATGGTGGTAGCGTTGTAGGAAATGGAGATGCTGGAGATGGTGGAGATGCCGGAGATGGTGGTGATGCTACTGGAAGTGATAACGGAGGTGCAGGAGGTACTGGAGGAGATGGCGGTGACGTTACAGGAAATGGAGATGCTGGAGATGGTGGAGATGGAGGAGATGGTGGTGATGCTAATGGAACTGGAATTGGTGGAGACGGTGGTGATGGTGGAGAAGGCGGTAGTGTCGTTGGAAATGGAAATGCAGGAGATGGTGGAGATGGTGGAGATGCCGGCAACTCTAATCCTCCTCGTCGTACCGTATGTGTGCCCGTCTAATAAGCATATGCGAAAAAAATCATAAAAAACTTATGAGCATATAAATAACAGAAGATATCATGTCTCAAAATTTGAATAAAAGATGAATTTGAATAAAACCAATTTCATGATTAACGTAGAGTAATTATTTAATGGCCAGCTTCTTTTCTTCTTTCAACTTTTAAGGTTATAACTTATTTCTGTAACTTTTGTGGCCAGTGTTTAAATAGGGCGTTGTTGTTAAAAAAACTGTTATATATGGTGTCATTTAAGCTGGCAATAAGCGAAAGCTGTATAAGAAGAAAAGCCCCATGCATGAGTATCCCTTTCAGCTTCCACTTGAAAAGAGTCGACTGTATAAAGAAGAAATTAACCTGTAATAAAAATTTTCTCTTGAATTTTCCGGAAAAACTGAATACAAGATTTTTTTCATAATTTAGTCGTTAATGAAACGTTGTATTCAGTTTTTTCATTTATAAATAAAAATTAAATTTTTTTCAAGTTTGTTAAAGTGATAGTCAAATTTTCTTGTAGTTTTGATCATGACATGGTTAACTTTGACAACTATGGAGATTGCCCAAAACAAAAAATTAATGCCACGATATTCTACACATAGTGTAGATAATTTTTTAAAAAAGAATTTTTATATTCGGCACAACTTGCACAACACTGCCGATTTAATGCACGTAATTTCCCTATGTGCTTCGCCTGATGAATCTCCACCCATACTAATACTCAAGTGTATTGATTAAAGTTCCAGGACGAATCATTTTTACACATGAAACCACTCACCCACCCACCCACACATAGTTAGGCGATCAATTTTCCGATCCGAATCGCCGATCCAACCTACCGAAATATACCGAAATGTAACAGAAAAGTTGCAGCAAGTTTAAAGGAACAATTTTCTCAAACACACCACGTAGCTTAATCTGATGGTTAAGCTGTAATCAAGTTTTTTACTTTTTCTTCCTTCACCAGTTTTAAAACGTTTATGCATAAGAAATTTTCTCCGGAATGAGGGTTCAATTCTTTGAAGACAAACATCTTCTTTTTTCAGAGAAGATCTTTTTAAAACTAAGAAGTATGATTGATGTAAAAGTCTATTAATTTGTCAATCTTAAACGCCACACACTTCTCTATAAAGTTGGGAAATAAAAAGTGTGGATTCTTTTAAAGTGAGAGAATGAGAAACCACCTGAACTAAGTAATTTCATTCTAATTTGAAAATATGTAAAATCTTTGAAAAAGTAATTATCTCACGAATAACTTCTCATGAAGAACTAAAAAGTATTCTAATAAATCCACAGTTCGGTTTTAGCATCAAATAGTAAGGTTAACTGAAAAACTAATTTGGAGATTCAATGAAAATTATTCGGCAGCAGGAGCTTTATTACAAGTTGAAAAAGCTTTCGTTAGTGTTTGGCATGATGCTTTAAGCCAGAAATTCATAGAAATTCACAAGGTTTATAACGGTTAGAAATGGAGAAAAATTGAGAATCAAGTTAAAAACTAATATAAGACTGCATTAATTCTTTTCACAAAATCTAGTTTTAAAATACTGCAGTATAAGTGGAATACTTAAGGTCAGGAGGGATACCAAATGAACTTTTAAACTCTAGAATGTATTTTGTATTAGCGCCATAATTTTTATGAGAGTTATAAAAAAAATTATGATGAAAAATTTTAGTGCGTTTATAATAATAAATCGGTTTTAGTGACAAAAATAAGGTAATAATTATCCGAGTTAATTGATCAATATTTTTTAGATTTTTATTTGTTTAATTATTTTGTAGAAATCCCTGATGATGGTGATTTTAAATTACTNTTGTTGATTGATTGAAATCGAAGGGCGTTTTGTAATCTGTTTTGTTATATATAAAAGTGTCACTAAGACAGATATACTAGTTTGTATATATACATTTTGATTGTTAAATAAATCAGTTATCATTTGACCTTAGAACTAACGACATCATCTCTTTCATTCCTCTCACGATCATAACATATTTGGCGACGAGTAAAAAGGAAAAAGTGCAGAAAAAGTTAATTAAATTAAGTGCAGTACATTAAAAACGATTAAAAATTAATTAAAATATTTAAAAATATAAGTCTTATTGACAAAATAAGTAGTGAAAAAGCTAAATTTGTGATCGAAATTTTTTGAAAGCACATGGTAAAAAAAAATATGCCAGACGAACAAAAAGATACAGCGAGTACATCAAAACCAGCTTCAACAACAACACAGATGACTCAACTTCTAGGATCAATAGAACCTTTCGTAGTCGGTGAAGACTTCGAAATCTACTTGCAGCGCGTTGACGATTTTATGGTTTTAAACGGAATAAACGAAGACAAAAGAAAAGTTATGTTATTGGTTAACCTCATCGGCATTACGGCAAGTAAAAAGATCATAAATGCTTTCAAACCTGACGTCTACACCAGCAAGAAGTACACAGAAATTGTAGAAAAATGCAAGCTTTTGTTCTTGGAAAAGAAAAACGCCATTTTTCAACGCTATAAATTTAATAGCCGAAATCAAAAGGTCGGTGAAAATTTAAGCGATTTTGCAGTGGAATTGCAAACGATGGCACAACACTGTGAGTTCGGGGAGAACCTGGATGCAACATTGCGTGATCGTTTCATCGCTGGAATCAGAGATTGCAAGGTGAAAGAAGTACTACTGAACTTGGAAGCAAACACCAAATTTGCGAAGACGCTAGAAACTGCACAACGCCAAGAAATGATTTTCAAAGAAGCGCGTCAAATGAATGTGCCTGATGATGAAACAGGTGCTGAAAGAGAAATTAAAAAAATGAAAAAGCAAAGTTTTGCAAGACAACATCGTGGCAGAAGTCGTTCACGTGGTCGCAGCCGTTCTCGTGGTGATCCCAGAACTTCGTATCGAGACTCTAGACACAATAGTAGTGGACGTACCAGTAGGGACCAAAGCCTAAGTGATGTCACATGTTTCCGTTGTCAACAAAAAGGTCATTACGCCAATGAATGCAGAAATGTGAAGAGAAAACGCCGCATGTACAACAATGACTACAAGAACAAAGAAGACAGCGCCAGTGCAAACTTTATTGATAAGTTTGACAATTTGGATCTCGACAACAGTGAGTATTACTTAAATTCTTTTAATAATAATTCTATTTCACTTTTAGGAACAAAAATAAATAGTTTGAAAACTGCTTTAGTGGAATTGAACGTCGAATCGAAAGGATTTGTTATGGAGTGTGATACGGGAAGCTGTGTCTCTGTAATTTCGGAAGAAAATTACAAAAAATGTTTTTCACATATCAAAATCCAGAAAGGATTACGATCGCTATCCGTTGTTTCAGGTGAGAAATTATGTGTGATTGGAAGAATACCTGTGATAGTGAGAGTGAAAATTGGAACTTTTCGGTTAGGTCTTCATGTTATTAATACAAAAAAAATATTTACACCGTTATTAGGGCGTGATTGGTTGGATGTTTTAAAGCCAGATTGGAGAAAAAATTTTCAAATTAAAAATATTGATAACTCAAATGAAACAAATTTAAAAGACTCCAATATTATTGAAAATTATATTAATGAAATTAAAAGTAAATTTTCTAAAGTTTTCGACAACGATTTGTCTCAACCAATCAAAGATTTTGTAGTTGATATCAAAATGAATGAAAATGCTAAACCTTTTGTTCATAAACCATATACTTTACCTTTCAATATTCGCGAAAATGTTTCAAAACAATTAGAAAAAATGGTCAATGAAGGGATTTTAGAGAAGATTGAACATTCTGATTGGGCATCACCAATTGTTGTTGTCACTAAGTCAAACAAGGATTTGAGAATTTGTATCGACGGCTCAGTAACTGTCAATCCATTCATCGAAACGCACCATTACCCTTTACCTATGATTGATGACTTATTAGTCGGTAAAAATAATGCGAAATTATTTTGTGTTTTAGATTTGAAGGGCGCGTATCAGCAATTGATTGTGAATGAAAAAACAAAAAAATTATTAGCAATTAATACTTTGAATGGAATGTATGCTTATAAGCGCTTGCCTTTTGGTGTGAAACCAGCCGCTTCTATTTTTCAGTCTGTGATGGACAAAATTCTTTCAGGCATTAAAAATACGCAAGCATACATTGATGACATTCTTGTTTGGGCCAGTAATATTCAAAATTTAAAAACGCGAATTTTTGAAGTTTTACAGAAATTATTAAATTTTAATGTTAAAGTTAATTGGGAAAAATGTAGATGGTTCGTACCTAAAGTCACTTATTTGGGTCATGTGTTATCTGCGGAAGGAATAGCACCAAATAAGGAGAAACTGAAGGCAATAGCGGAAGCTCCAGAACCAGAAAACATTACCCAGCTTAAAGCTTTTCTTGGTATGATAATGTTTTATTCAAAATTTTTGCCAAATCTAAATAGCAAGTTATCGCCACTTTATCGACTCTTGAGAAAAGATGTTAGATGGAATTGGTGTAATGAATGCCGAGTTGTTTTTCAACAATGCAAGAATGAATTGTTATCTGATAAGTTATTGTCGCATTATGATCCAAGTTTTCCAATAATTGTTACAAGCGACGCTAGTGATGACGGCATTGCGGGGGTGTTAAGTCATAGAATTGACGGAGTAGAAAAGCCAGTTTTCTTTGTTTCTCGAACACTGACACCCGCTGAAAAGAAATATCCGATTTTGCACCGAGAAGCTTTAGCTGTAGTTTTTGCTATGGAAAAATTTTATAAATATATTTATGGAAACAAAGTTCAAATTTTTACTGATCATAAGCCTTTAGAAGGCATTTTCAGCAATAAAAAGGGTGAACCTTCTGTAATAGCTTCGCGTTTACAACGATATATTTTACGCTTATCAATTTTTGATTATTCTTTAAAATATAAAAAAGGTAAAGAAATAGGAAGTGCTGATTGTTTATCACGTTTGCCATTAAACGTTAAACCCAGCAAAATAGATTATTTAGAAACTAAAAACTTAGAAATAAATTCAATTATTGAAGATCCTGAGATTGGATTAGACATTCCACTCATTAGCAGAGAAACTGCAAAAGATCCAATTTTGAGTAAAGTGTACGCATGTGTGTTGAATGGTTGGAGCGATCATGTTGATAAAAAATTGAAAACATTTTTTGATTTAAATAAAAATATTTCTTTAGAGTGTGGATGTTTGATGAATGGTTCTAGAATTATTATTCCAAAAAGTCTCCAACGAAAAATTTTAAAAATTTTACATGCAAATCATTCAGGAATGACACGCATGAAACAGTTAGCTCGCCGTTATGTTTATTGGGAAGGTTTGAGCAAGGAGATCGATAAATTTGTGAATGAATGCGATGCTTGCCAAGTTCTTCAGAAAGACAAGCCGAATAAGCAATTTAATAATTGGCCTGAAGCTAAATTTCCTTTTGAAAGGATTCACTTAGATTTTTTTAATTTGAAAGGTCATAATTTTTTAATTTTAATTGATGCTTATTCGAAATGGATGGATATTAAATTGATGAATGTTACGAATGCTGAGAGAGTGATACGTGAGCTTGAGTCAATATTTAATGTTTTTGGGGTTCCTAATGTTGTCGTTTCTGACAATGGACCACCATTTAAAAGTCACGAATTGACGAAATATTTCAGAGACATTAGTGTGAAACAAATGTTTAGCCCACCGTATCACGCTCCAAGCAACGGCCTTGCCGAACGAGCTGTTCAAACAGCTAAAGCAGTGTTGAGAAAATTCATCTTCGAATCCAAAAATGCTTTTCAGATGACTACTCTGATTGATAAGTTTCTGAAGAATTACCGAAATATGCCAAGCACGAAGGAAAACATAATTCCGTCTCATCTCATGTTTTCATTTAAGCCTAGAATTGCTTTACATAAATTTAATTTATCTCCAAAGAATGAAATTTTGAAGAAAAAGAAAATTAGTTTTGAATCAGATTTTAAAGAGAATATTAAACATGAATTACTTAAACCAAAAATTAAATTTAAAGTGGGAGAAAATGTTTTGTATCTCTCAAAGTTACAAGGATATTGTTATGCTTATAAAGCAAAAATATTGAAAAAGAAATCCGAATTCATTTATGAAATTAATGTATGTGGAAATATCAAATTAGCTCACATTAATCAGCTAAGAAAAAGTATTTTGAAAAGTAATTTCAATGATCCTTTTCCTAAGAATGGAAAATCAAGAACTGAAGAATTCAAGAATTATGAATCAAATAGAAACAAAAAACGTAGAAGAAGTTCTTCAGAATCTGAGTTAATTGAAATAAGAAAATCCGCTAGAACTAAAAAACCTGTTATTAGGTATGAAGCATAGAAATTAAAATTTAAAAACATATTTTCAAAGTTATTTTGAAAGACTTAATTAAAAAAAGTAAAAAATTCGTCATGTAAATTTTATGAATTATATTTTATGAATTATAGATTGTAAGAAAATTTTAGGAATTATTAGTTTGTAAGTTAGATTAGTTTTCCTCTTAAAGGGGGAGATGTTTTGTTATATATAAAAGTGTCACTAAGACAGATATACTAGTTTGTATATATACATTTTTATTGTTAAATAAATCAGTTATCATTTGACCTTAGAACTAACGACATCATCTCTTTCATTCCTCTCACGATCATAACACCATCCTTTTGTCTTTACCATTAAAAAAGACGACAAATTTCCTACANAATTTTCCGATCCGAATCGCCGATCCAACCTACCGAAATATACCGAAATGTAACAGAAAAGTTGCAGCAAGTTTAAAGGAACAATTTTCTCAAACACACCACGTAGCTTAATCTGATGGTTAAGCTGTAATCAAGTTTTTTACTTTTTCTTCCTTCACCAGTTTTAAAACGTTTATGCATAAGAAATTTTCTCCGGAATGAGGGTTCAATTCTTTGAAGACAAACATCTTCTTTTTTCAGAGAAGATCTTTTTAAAACTAAGAAGTATGATTGATGTAAAAGTCTATTAATTTGTCAATCTTAAACGCCACACACTTCTCTATAAAGTTGGGAAATAAAAAGTGTGGATTCTTTTAAAGTGAGAGAATGAGAAACCACCTGAACTAAGTAATTTCATTCTAATTTGAAAATATGTAAAATCTTTGAAAAAGTAATTATCTCACGAATAACTTCTCATGAAGAACTAAAAAGTATTCTAATAAATCCACAGTTCGGTTTTAGCATCAAATAGTAAGGTTAACTGAAAAACTAATTTGGAGATTCAATGAAAATTATTCGGCAGCAGGAGCTTTATTACAAGTTGAAAAAGCTTTCGTTAGTGTTTGGCATGATGCTTTAAGCCAGAAATTCATAGAAATTCACAAGGTTTATAACGGTTAGAAATGGAGAAAAATTGAGAATCAAGTTAAAAACTAATATAAGACTGCATTAATTCTTTTCACAAAATCTAGTTTTAAAATACTGCAGTATAAGTGGAATACTTAAGGTCAGGAGGGATACCAAATGAACTTTTAAACTCTAGAATGTATTTTGTATTAGCGCCATAATTTTTATGAGAGTTATAAAAAAAATTATGATGAAAAATTTTAGTGCGTTTATAATAATAAATCGGTTTTAGTGACAAAAATAAGGTAATAATTATCCGAGTTAATTGATCAATATTTTTTAGATTTTTATTTGTTTAATTATTTTGTAGAAATCCCTGATGATGGTGATTTTAAATTACTGCAACTACTCAGAAAATAATAATCAAAAATTTGATATTTTTGTCTGTAGGAACATCGCCAAAGCAAATAAAATTATCCAAATACTTTTTTAAATCCTGATCATCAAACTTTCTTAGAGTTAACAAAGTTAAATTAACTTAAAAAACCTATATTAAATTTTAAATTAAGATTTAAATCAAACTCTCTCTCTCTCTCAAGTTTGAAAATTCGAAAGATTCTACATATAAAGATGTAAAGCATTTATCATGCAGTGTACATAAATTTGCAGTTTTTCTCATACATATGGTCTTATGACATTCCTCATTTGACTAATGAAAAGAAGAAATAGCGAATATCTAAATTGGAGGATAAAATCACTACTAATTCTACATAATTTGATACTTCAAAACAGAAACAAAAACACCTACTTGTGAGGTTATCTTATTAATATCGTAGAACTGGACGTACTTTCCATCTCATGAATTTTCGTGAGCTAGAGAATATCTTTTAAACGTGTATAATTAAATGAGAATAAAAGAAATAATAGAATTATGCTAAATTTGCTTATTAATTTTCCTTCGCATGCTTAATATTTTAAGAGGAAAATTAAAATTTATTATTTATAACATTTCGATATTTGGGTATATGAAAGGAAGTCCACGTCAAAGAAGGATACGTGGTAAAAAAATAATTATAACTAAAAACACGCGCGATAAGCCAAATTCTGCCCTCCAGATAAGCTCTCAAATAAAACTTTGAAAATATAACTGTATTAAGACTAATACTAAGTTTTTTATTACGTAGAAACGTTTAAACAATATTCTGTTTACCTCCCAACTAACAATATGTTATGTTCCTAATTAGACATTCATACTAGTATCAACTTTAGTATGCTTATGTGGTGCTCTTCATTTCACTCTTTTTTTTTCGTTCCTCTTCCCCTTCCACTCTATTATCTCCAATCTTTTGATAAGAAGATAATATATACACATAAGGCCCTCCTTTTCATCAACTTTAGGAGAAGCTTAAACCATACTTTTGTTTTTATGTGAGAAAATGACAGCCTAAGTAAGTTATACCTAAAATTAACAAAATGTTCTATGTATTATTATTATTATTATTATTAATATCTCATTGACGACAAAATATTAAAATTTATTTAATAAAACGATCAAGCATTAGGGAGGGGTTTAATTAGAGACAAATGCTATAAAAGTCGAAAATAATTGAATAGAAATTCAGTATTCCCAATATACATTTGAGAACTCATTCACTTAATATCAAATCGAAAAAATGAAATTGTTTACAATCTTCTTGTTGTGTGCTGTCATCGGTGCCGCTGGTATGCATTTAAGTGATCTAAAATAGGCTTTTACTAATTTTTTTTTGAAACAGTTGCTCAAGGTGATGGAGCTCCCGGTGGACATGGCGGTGGCGTAGTAGGAAATGGAAATGGAGGACGTGGTGGTAGAGGAGGTAGAGGAGGCCAAGGCGGAGGAGGAGGAGGCCGCGGTGGAAGTGGCGGTCCCGTTATAGGAAATGGAAATGGAGGAGGTGGTGGTGGAGGAGGTGGTGGTGGCGACAATAATGGTTCAGACCCAGCAGGTAATGGAGGCGGCGGCGGACATGGCGGTTGGGTCGAAGGAAATGGAAATGGAGGACGTGGAGGAAATGGTGGACGTGGTGGCAATAATAATGGAAGTGGTCGAGGAGGAAATGGAGGACGTGGAGGAAACGGCGGTTGGGTCTATGGAAATGGAAATGGTGGAAATGGTGGAAATGGTGGAGATGCTGGAAACGGTGGAAACGGTGGACGTCGTACCGTATGTGTGCCCGTCTAATAAGCATATGCGAAAAGAATCATAAAAAACTTATAAGCATATCAAGTTACAGAAGATATCATGTCTTGAAATTTAAATAAAAGATGAATTTGAATAAAACCTATTTCATGATTACCGTATCTCCGTTATTGAATTATTTTAATCCTTCATAGCAAATACATTTTTTAAATTTCTTACATTTGCAATTGTCAAAGGTAAAATTCTGACCCCTCATATGAACATTTTGTTTTCTCCTATAAATTGTTATTTCTACAGCTAAAACAATATATTTACGCTGTAACGAAATTTAAAAAACTTTCTACAATTTTCCAATATTATATAAATTTTTGAATATGTATTTATTTGTTCTTTGACTCTTAAAACATTTTTTTATTCTCTACAACGAACATTTCAAATTTTTATAATTAATTTTCACACACATACCTATTTACATAAATTTGATGTAAATCAATTTCTCAAACATTTAGAAGCATGATACCAGACTATCTCGATATTGTAAAGTTCAAAATTTCTTCGACGACAGAAAGGTACAACATAAGTGAAATCAGATAAATCGTTGCAAGGTGTGGAATTTGAAGCTCATGACCTCTGCTAAATGATGTCACTGGATGAAAAAAAGGAAAAACAAAATAATTTTTATCATCATCTTTAAAGCACTAATTAGTTTTTTCATTATGAAATAACCAGGAAATAAATGGCCAGTTCTTTCTTTCTTCGACTTTGAAATTCAATAACTTTTTCTTCACTTGGTTTTTCTAATCTTCGGTTTTTCAAAGAAATTTTGTCAAAAACACCCAGTGTAAATGATCAATCAACTTATCAATAGATTATTTATCTTTACAGAAAAAGAATAAGCAATTTAAATTTTCGCTATACGAGAATCAAACTGAAACACTTTAATGTAGCCATATCAAACCGAAGTTAAGTATCATATTGCTCGATCGTTTGCGGTCATTGTTTAACCTGAGAAACAACGTTATAAAAAATTATTATATTTATTAATGTAATTAAAACTAAATTCGATCGAACCTTTTAGTTTTTTTTTGAATACATATAATTTAAGCCTAGAATGTATTTCAGCTATCTTATTCCATAATTAGAATGTTGCCAGAAATTGCTCACTTTGTGAAAATTTGTTTGCCATTAAATTTTTGAATGCGACTCCATATAAAAATGGTTGTGTACCGCAATTTGATCGTAAAAATGTGTGAGCAATTAGTTTGAAAGTTAATTTACTGCAAGCTATTACGAAATTCTGTAGAGTTATCTATTCAATTCTACACATAATTTCTTATCTTTTAGTGCATTTAAACAAGTAACTTTAAACCCATGTAATTTATACTCGCATCTTGACAAATTAAAGTTAGTAGCAAAATTGGTGTTTTAAGAAGAGATTTCTTTATTATTGAAATAAGTGACCATAATTAGCACCGTCCATAATTGATCATGGCAATTAAATGATTTTTTAATTCGGATCTAAACACATTTTCAGAAAGTGGTTTATTAATTATCAATAGCGTACAATATGTATATGGCATACCTCTTTCTGGTATTGGTTCTTTTCGCGTTGTTTCTAGAGGCGCTTCAGTAAAATCTGCATAATGTGTTCCTACTTCTGCGCTACATCGTAGTATAAGTTGCCCATTTAAATAATGTGATGGAAGAATCTGAACGGACGAATTAATTCATATAATCAGCTATCTATATGACATATACTCCTCACAAATGGAGTTTTAACTTACCTGAATCTTTAAATCTTTTGACGACCATAACAAATTGTCCTGTGTCTGATGATAAACTGTTGGTTCATTTCCAACCTGGAATAAAATAAATATTTTTTTAGAAAAATGTCATTCAAAGATATTTAGTTATCAATTTGACTATGCATTTTACTAACGAGTCGCTTAATATTTTATTTGTCGCACCCAGGAAGAAAAAATTACAATTCGTTTGAGTCAACTTAATAATTACATTTGCAATAATTGCAGCTTCTTCAAAGACATTTAAATAAATATCATAAATAAATACAAGATTTTTTTAATTCAAATCATAAAGTTGTCTTCAAAACAATACTTTCATTCATGTGCATTTTTATCAAAATAAAACTTAAAAGTTTTCTCAAACTTAAATAACTTATCTCGTGTACTATTTCATAAGCATAGACTTTTTTTCTGAATTGCCAGAATTCACCTATAATATCTACTTATTATCTCAAACTCCAAGACTCAAGGAAACACTCCAAATGAAACAGATTCTTCCATAAAAAGTGTATGATTTATATTAGAAGTATAATGTGTTTAACATAAATCTTTTTTATGTACGAAAATGTCGCAAATGTAGTGGCATTTATCATCATTGCATAATATTATAAACATTTTGCTGTTAAGGTAATGGCTTTAAACGCTGTGTAATGATTCTCCCCTTTTTGCTTATTGTTGGCGGGCGAATGTTTCGATTTTCAAAGATATCATAAAATTTCCTCGATATTTATAAAGGAATAGAAATCGTTCGATTCAATAAAAATTCAGTCACACTGCCAATTTTTGCTTCCCTTATAAGAAATTTATTTTGAATTTTGAAAAAATGTGTAAGAAAAACGAGCTAATAATACGTAAACATAAAACTTTAATGTTCCTTTTAATGACAATTTGAGCTTGAATCCTTCATGAAAACATGTTAGACGAAAAGAAAGATTACGCCGTCAATAATAAATCTCGTAACTTTTTCATTTTATTTTTATGACTTCTCGTAATGCGTTTTCCACCACATACCGCATTACAAACAACTGTTGTAATATATCAAATAACCGAATTACACATTATTCCTCCTTCAAAACTGAATGAAAACTTTTGAAAACTTAACTTGTTAAAAGAATATCTTGTCATGAATATCATTTAACACAATGAAAGTTCAAATATGACATCAGAGATATCGTTGAAAGTCAGACATTTATTTAAATGAATCAGGCGAACATATGAAAATCTTACTTTTTAATTGACAATCAGTGACATAAATTCTCTTGACTTTTGATAACAACTTCCAAATCGATTCAATCATACACATAATTATTTAATTACAGTTGAGGAGATAGCTTCTGTGTTCCATTATTTCATGCGACTTTTGAAATAATTTCGCATTGTGCGAATTACAACAAAAAAAATCAATCGACACTAGCAATCTTGTAAAAAATTGTTTACTATTGAAATTTCGTCTAAAAATGAATTCCACCGCTTTGAAACTTCATTCAAATAATAAAACAGATGAGAAGAAAGAAAAAGAAGGCAGCAAGTTTTGAGAAAGAAATTTCAAGTCGAAATTGTTTTCCAATCTAACAAACAAAGAATTCTATCATTTGGAATACATTTTACTGCTAAATCCTTCGGATTTCCAAATCCAGACATTAAATTAAATTTTTTGGAAGAAAAGGAAAAAGAACTGGGGTATAAAATCTTTCACTGTAATGCTGAGTATTCCTCATTCATCTTGTACATGTTGAACGTTTAAAGGCTTATAAATTTCTCGTTTTCTTGTACATTTCAATCAAGGTTCGGGATTAAGAGAATTGACTTAAGCGATTTACTATTTTTTGAGCTTTCACTCACAGAACTGCAGCTTGAAAGTTAATCTTATTACATTACATTCCTTACGGTACACATCAAAGATTTCCAAGGAATTGAGTTCTTTTTATGTATCCTAAGACGTTCGTAAAAACAGCTTGAATTGTAGCAAATAACTAATGTTTCATAAATGATGTAGCACGAATTGATAAAAACATTTGCGACTCGTAACAAGATGCTTCTAATTGCAAATCAATGTGACATAACTCTCAATTTACCCCTCAGTCGTATAACATTTAAACCTCAATGCATTCCAGATGATTGATAAGCATTCATCACATTTAACTCACACCAAAGTCACTTTTGAAAGGCGAATGAAAAAAATTAGTTAACGATAATAGTTTCGGTTACTTTTCTCATTTTCCTGGCTCTGTTTTTATAGCCTCTTACCCGAGAATTTTTATATCCTCTCATTATTGCCTCTTTCGATTCAAGAGATTTATATTCAGCAAACGCTATCGAATACAAATTTGTACTTGGAACGACTTTTTTTTTTACATAATAGCCTATCAGACATCATATGATGAACACTTTTATGATACTTTCCAAGCATTTAACTGAATTGAAGAAGGTATCGATGTTAATACACAGTTCAAATACAGACCAATCCATACACAATCAAAACCATATTTTCATTTTTCTAGTGTTATTAAGCACCATAAATTATCAAAAGAGAAATGAAAAATAAATATTGAATGAAAAGCAAAATAAAAATACTTTCAGGTGGACAATGAAAGATTTCAAATTTTCTTGTGATTTTGTTCGGAAATTTCGGAAAAAAATGAGGTAAGACATCAAACATGAACCTCCCTTTTTTCTTAAAATGTAATTTGTAACGTGACAGTTGTAACAATAAATTAATCCAGCCGAACTATTATTATTAACATCAGATCATCTTATATTCTCAATTGCTCGACGTCTTTCAGGCTTAATAATACAAATATATTTAAAAAAACTATCGATTTTTTCTGAATAGTTTGAACACTCTCAATGTCCAAAATGCAATTTCCATCAGCTTCAATTTTAAACGTGTTCCATCTTTTACACACAAGATGTTTGTTTTTGCAATATTATCTTCGTCTATATTTTTTATTTTGTCTAAAGCGTGACAACAATAACTTATCCCATCTTATGAAATGCAAAGAGACAATCGAATGGACAATGCTGAAAAAGTCCGAATTTCTCTTTCAATTTTTATAAAATAGTAAATTTGATAGCAGCACGTGAGTAGAATGCAAATTAATCGCAACTACCTGTGAGTTAACAGAAGTTTATAAGTAAGTGTTCGAAATAAAATCAAATACCGCATATATGTATCACAAACAATTCAAACCTCATTACCATTTTAAGCTTTGATTTGATGTGCATTTTAATCTTTAGATATCGTAAGTTAGTTTACATAACACTTAAAAAGTGTCACGTATGACATACGAAAAATAATTTAACTGATAATTCTGCAATTTATTTCCTGATTTTGTTTCCTTCGTTCGGGTGATTGAATTGCCTTTTACTTTCGTCGAAAATTTCATCGGCGTTCAATTAAAAGGCAACGGATATGAACTACATTTTGAACTAAATACGTTGCAATTGCTTTTAAAATTCATGACCATGTTTTCCACCCAACGTTGTTTCGTGATAAAAGCGAAAGAGAATATCTAATTAAGTCAACAATTTGATCATTACATAACACTCCGTATTTTAGATGTGATCGAAATTAATTTGAAATAAATATTCTCATAATTTGATATCAAGTAGGACAAAAATAAATAAATAAACCATTCATCATTAGTCCACAATAAAAATGAATCGCATTATACATGATTTTTATTATTAAATGAAGTTTGTGTTTTCATTTTTTGTAAAACGAAAATTGGATTGTTTAGCAACCATAAATATTGAATTGCGATGTATAGACGCAAGAAACAAATAGTCGAATTGATTCGGTGCCAACATTATTTAATTTCTTTGACTTGCATCAAAACGTTATGAAAACTTTGTCAAAATCTGTAAAGGAATTGCGAAAATCAGGAAATAAAAAGATGATGCAATATATTTTCGATATTTCAACAATTAATTTTAACAATATTGAAAGTATCGCTTAAGTTTAACGCGTAGAATTTTTGAAAAGTTGATACACGTGTAGATGAAAAGAAAAACGGCGAACAAAGAAGTTCAATTCGTATTGACAGAAAAGAACGATGCTTTGAACAAGTGTTATAAGATGAACTGCGAAGTTCTATTATCAACAACTATCGTTATGTCTAGTTGCACGTATCTGAAGTTTTTACTTCCATTCTATTTGAATAAAACTACAAACAATTCGTATCTCATCTTAAACTTAACACTTGTTTAAAGCTTAATTCGCTTTTGTCAATACCATTCGAACTGTATTATTTGCTTTCATCGTTGTTTTAAACTTATAGTTTCTCAGTTTTATCTGAAATTCAACTTTATAATTCAAATTTATCACAAAACATGTGATTGATCAAGAATAAATTTAAATGATAATCATAAAGCATAAAAAAATTTACCTAATATGATATAAAAATGAATAAAAACTTAATACAACTTAGTTGAAGTTGTGCTACTTTAAAGATGCCTTTGTTCGTCTGATATGAGGTGAGATGAAACAAACAACATGTGGTTTCGAAAAATTTAATGAGCATTTTCAATTTTACTTGAAGATGCCTTTGTTCGGCTCATATGAGGTGACATGAAACAAACAACATGTGGTTTTGAAAAAAATTGATGAGCTTACTTTTCAATATATCGTATGACGCTTATCCGAGGTTAAAATTGCTCCAGATAAAACAAACGAAACGAAAACACGATGGAACTTTCGAGAATAATCGAATGGAAAATTTTACCTTGATACACCCAAGGACGCCGAAGAAACAAAATATTTGTTTAAATTTTTGTATTATTCATGCCTCTATGCATACAGTTTTAAATTAACTTAAGAATTTTAGTATCAGGTTTTCCTGATTATCATACTTTCCTGCCATTTAGAAATTTAAATTACTCAAAATAAAATTAAATTTGAAATTGAAATTCAATCTTAATTGTCATTGACAACACTTTTCAACTTCAATGAGAATTGTGTTGTGCCAATCGTTTCGCATCCTTTTGATATTTCAGATATATTTTCAGATAAACATATTTTCAAATCTATTGAACATTCCGATCAAGAGTATGATCGAAAGATATCTTTGAAAAAGTTTTACAATACCACCTTAAAATGATGGAATTTATGAAGGTGAATTGATCATTTTTGATAATATTAAAAGTAAATGACTTGTTTGCATGTAAAAAATTGTTTTGAGATGTTTAGTTATTAGAAATGTAAGGAAACACACATAATTATCGTTATTCAAATTCTACATGATCTTTGAATACAAATGAAACATTCATAGCGAATGAAGAAATTTAATTAATCTATATTGTGCACAATTGTGAACTTATAAGCCCAAAGAACAAATTTGAAAAAAATTAATCATCTCATCAAAGATGTGGTACAAAAACGTGATGTGGAAATTGATTTAAAGTTCGTTTTAAGTTATTTTTATATTTTTTAAAACTTAAGAATAAAAAGTGTGATAATAAATTGAAATGTATTTGAGTCAACTACAATATAAGGTCGATAAAATTAAACTTTAAATCTTTAAATGAAAATAATTTTCATCTAATTCTATATGAAGGTTTTATCGTCTTACATATTTTTTTTCTAACTTTTCATTGTCGAGAACAATTTTCTGTTTCGGTAATTTAATTTAGTAATTCTATTGTGGATGTTTCAATATTCTGTTTTGCTGTCGTTTATTCTTTGGCTCGACGCTGTTCGTCGAAAGAACGTTTTATTTTGGCCTCAACGCACAGCAATAGAGCATCAAAAAATCAGCAAATTCGATTATCGGAAAGAAGATGTAAAGGACTTGAAATATGAACATAATTGAATTTTTTGATAGAAAAAATGTTACAAAAGGAAAACCATTGATGAAGACATTTTATGCGATTATAACGAAATTATGTTGTATTGAGGCTTGACACGTTTTAATGTTTAACGAATGAATGAACCGTCGATATATGCTATTAAAATATTGTGCAGATATTTTATACTTTAATTATTAAATGGGATAATCACATAAGCAGTGTTGCGTGTACATATTTTTCGCCTCTTAAATATTTATGAAACATTTTATATCTAAATAATAAACTCTTATTAGAGGAAACTAATATTCCACATATTGCCACATTGTCAGATAACGCAAACCCTCCATAAGTATTTAATAGCAGAAAAGCCAAAGGAAAAACATTGTTCAATGTGGATATTCATACATTGAAAAGTTTATTAAACATTCAAATTATTTTGTATTTTTTTTTCCATTGTGTAACACAAAATAATTTCAATATTGAAAATTTTGGTTTTGGTCAGTAAATACAGAAAAATCAATAATTTTAAATCAGATAGGATTAGACAGTTTCCTGGGCAGCTCCACACGAATGAAACAACTATTTAAAACAGCTCTAACTCGATAGACGTGTAACTCAGATAAATTACCAAGGCCAATGTGTAGGTCGATGGCTCAAGTACGAAGCTTTTACATTAAAATCATAAATTTCAGATGAAGAAATATTTTAACTTCAGATAATTTTCAGTATCAGGTATTTTGGAAGAATTTTTTTTTAGAAGTTTCTAATGAGAAGAATTTTTACCATTAAGTTTCTATAACAACGATTTTTAGTATTACGAACAAAGTAATGAAGAGCAAATTTACATGATTTGCTTGTTCATTTAATCAAATCTCTTGATATCAAAAATAATCCATAAAAATGTCATCAGTTATGTTGATTTTAAATCGAACATTGAATTCAATTATGCTCAAAGAGATTCCATTTCTAAGTAAATCAATTTAAATTCAAATTTGCTGACATTAACAAAAAAAGATAACATGAAAGGAAAGATCGTCGTTGACTCATTTATAAAATTTCAACCCATATGTATAGAAAATGTTTAATTAGTCATCAAGGAGTGATGATTCAAACTGTTTCACCAATTTGAATAGATAATTATTCTTCTATACTCATGATTATTATAAAAAAATGAATTAAATAAACTTCAAGAGAATTCTGTAAAGATAAAGAATGAAGAATTTTCTGAGATTAAAAGCTAAATGATGCACTGAAAGCAATCTAAATCCTTTGATATTAAAAATTCTTTTAGCAACGAACACTCTTTCGTTTGTTATTATTTTCATCTTCTCCGTCGAATTTACTGTTTTAAAAAATGAGCATGTGCACATGTTTGCTTTGTTTCATTTCGTGTATTCGCTTAATCCACATTTAAATCTTTCTCATCGAACGTCATCGTATGCTGGTATTAGGTATGGTAACAAAGGAACGGTGCTTACCGGGGGCACATATAAAAACCAAAATAATTGACAATAGGTATCAGTCGTGATTTCATTGCAGACATAAAGTCAATAAAAACATTTAAAAAAAATCGATAAAAAAGCTTCAAGTCCTAATTAAAATTGATATAAATAAATTGTATCTGTAACACGAGATTGTAAAATATTTGTAATTTTGATCTTGTTTGACATTTTACTTACGTATTTCCCTAATAGGATTTTTCAATTTAAGTGAATGATAATGAATTGGTTTCTGGTGAGTTTTTGGAAAGAGTTTTTACTAGAAACTACATTTAGGTATTTCTAGTTGTGGTATTACATAAAACAGAAGTCAATTCGATTGAACGAATTGATGAACAAATTTGACTAAATTAAACTTCATGTTTGGCAACGAAAACAATTTCATTTCAATACTGCGTGATCGAAATTGGTTTTAAACGTGAAACGATGTCAACTTAATTTTGGATAAAAAAATTATTCAGCTCGCAATCGATGGTTATAGACAAGTAAAGCATGCAATAATTCAATTCAGTAATCGTTACGATAATTTTTCTTGATGTTAATCGTTCACATCATTCATCTCGGACATGACTGACCACCGAAAGTAGCTTCACAAAAAATCTATTTTTAGATGAAAATACGAAAACAAAAAACAGCCTTAAAAATACCGAAATTAAATTTATGGAAATTTAATTATTTGTGCTAAAATTATAATTTCGTTGTGTATAATAAAAATGAAATTGACAAAATTAATGATGTAGAGACAAGTGTCAATGTACCCTAACATTCATTTAAATATTTATCAGAACATCAAATGACATGATTATATGACGTGTTGTATTAATTATTAAAATTAATTATTATTAAAAATTTACTCAGATAAAAGCAACAGTGAAAAAAGATCTTTAAATTGTTCAAATTAAGTAAACGTTTTCTTTCCATTCCATATTGTCGCCAAAAGATTTTATCAATCACATTTGGTGTTGCTTTAGCGCGACCCGAGCCACCTCGTAGCCGATATTCTGTCCCACAAGCGCCACCCTCAAGACAGCAGTTACCGAGACAAAATTACGGTCCACCAACGCCTTCAGACAGTTACGGTAAACATGATTTGAATAAAAATTGCATTGGGCTATGTGAAAAATTGTCATACTTTATTTTTTAGGTCCTCCTACACAAGGTTATGGTCCACCATCAACGCCTTCATCATCTTATGGACCGCCATCAGATCAACAAACAATCACAAAAAATGTTTATGTTCATCTTCCGCCTGAGGATATTGATGACTATCAACCTCCAAAAGTTATTCAATCTACATTACCTCAAAAACATTACAAGCTTATTTTCATTAAAGCTCCAGAGCCACCAAAACCTCAATCACCTATAATACCTCCCCAGCCCCAAGATGAACATAAGACACTTGTTTACGTTCTGGTGAAGAAGCCTGACCCTCAACCAGACATCGTTCTTCCATCACCTGATCCAACACCTCCAGCAAAACCAGAAGTTTACTTTATTAAATATAAGAAGGAAGATAAACCTGTGTACGGTCTCCCTAAGCCCGACTACGGTCCTCCCCCCAGTTCAGAATATGGTTCACCATCACTTTGAAAATATTGAAGATTAATCACGTCATGAGCCATTTAAGATTAAACAAACGAAGTGCATTTCATACTTAATATTCCTAAGTTGATATTATTTGTAAAGAAAATTGTTGACAAGAAGAAGTAATAGCAGTAATTGATATTTCTAATTAAGGATCGAGAAATAATGTCGCAACGGTCTAACAGCAAACACAGCAAGACGTCACGGATGGTATCCTTTGTAAATATTAATTTTTCATTTCCCTCCATCTCAAAACTTTCTTCTTCCTTTTACTTCTTTGTTCTCTCATTCTACTTTCTTCGGTCGCTAAGCTTTTATCTAAGCTCATATTAATTCTAATGGAAATTTCCCTCAACTTCCTTTTTTCTGCCATTTCCTCTCTCATGATTGTTCCATGTGAAAACATAGAATTATGCAATAAAATTAATATTTCATTTGTTTCTTTTTTCATACCGAAACATACTTATAAACATAATACAAAACTTTGTCATTGGGATATGATTGTTGGGGTGGACGAGTTTAGAATAACTTGAGTAAATTAATTTTGGGAAAATTGGTCAGTTATTTCGTATTGAGTGTTGAACAGTGTGAAAAAGCTTTGGGGTATCTACAAGACTTTCTTTCATTTCATCACATTTCACTTAAGGTTATAACTTTGTATGAATATTTTCAATTTTGATAAAAACTTTTTCGAATTTACCTGTTTGAGCTTTTCAGGTAAAAACTTTCTTGTTCATTTTCATTAGTTTATAGAGTTTTCTTTTTAATTTAAGATGCTTTTAAAATATTCAGGAAAGTTGAAATCATCTTGTTAAATACGAGAACTGGTGAAGCCAAAGTTTTTCTTTTGTTCTTTTCACAAATTCATCAACGAAATAAGTCAAATGTCAGTTTTAATCAGTATTACTTTTAAATATAATGTTGAAAAAAAAGCAAATTATCAAATAATGTTTCGTCTGTGGAAGCAAAGCTTATGTTAATCTGTCATGTGCCTGATACAATAACTTTTTATCCACTCTAACGAAACATATGCATGTGAAATCATTTCGAGAATTTGCTTCTTTCCACGACTTCATTAAGAGCTTGATCCTTAAAAACTTACCGCATATTGATTAAGTAGAAAAGTTATAGTAGCGCTTGGCTTGGATGGTTGAGTTGAACAATTGGCTTTCAGAATGTCACCCGGATCATATTTTGTGAATTCCGTCCAGAGTGTGGGTGGCGAGTGAGGCAACTCTGTGAATTATAATGAAGCAAAATACGATGAAGAAAAATGAATTAGATTTTTTATACACATGATTATATCGTAGCATATTGCAACCCCTCTCCCCTATTCAATGCTTTTGGCAAGATGAAAATAAATATTATGTATGCTAAAATGTTACAAAACTTCATCCACAAAATACGAAACTAATGTGACTCAAACATACACTTAGAACCGACATAAAAATGAGAAACTAGCTTTTTGAGTACGATAAATGGCAGCAGAAATTATTTTTTGAAGTGGATATGTGATAGAATCAGCATCATAAATCATGCATCCGCCCCATATTAATCAAGCGCCGTGTAGATAAACTACTACAACTTTTTTTATCATCATTTTGGGTCATGGTTTAGAGAAAAGTTACTTCCTTTAATGTCATGATGCTTAAGAAAAAGTGGATATGACGGATGATAATTTAATGCAAACATTACAAAAAAAAAAACAATTTTTGTCTTCCACCCACAACTCGAAAGAGAGAAAAATATTTATAACGTAAGTAAAAAAATGTGGAAGCCAAAGAAAAAACATTGTTTAGTTCTTTTTCTGCTTTCTTTGTTGTTGTTCTTTTCATTGTGATTACATCTGAAGTTTGGTGCTGTTTAAAAACAAAGAAAAACTGCGCTCAAGCAAGTTTAATTAAATAACAGTCAAGAGTAATTTTATCGTAAGAAGCGTAAAATTCAAATAAGAATTATGAAAACCGAAACTTTTCCTTTTTCACCGTTTTCCTTTGGCTCTTGTATGTATAGCTTTTGATAATAATTTGCATGTAACGAGCTTTTCGTTGCCTTCATTAGTTTTGCATAAATTTTGTAATTTCTTCTATTTCTTCTCCTCCTTTTCTTTGTAATATCAGTTAACTTTAATGGCGAGTACATAAAATTCACAAAAGTATGGCATCTGAATGATGAAAATTACTTTAAGAATAAATAGAATAAATAAAAAGCTTTCATGCTGAACAAACGACCAGATTGATGTTATCTAAGAAGTTATTTTGCTGCCATGACGATACATTTGCTATCGGCAACGCACTCACTTTCACTATATTTCATGAATAACAAAACACTGTCCTTGCAATAAATCTTCGGATTAATTACGTTCGTATTTTTTGTGTCGTCTTCTGTATATGTTTTTTGTCTGTTAGAAAAGCAAGTAAATTATCAGCAATTTTCTCTGGATCAATCTCCTTAGGCACGAATGCCAAAAAAAAAAAAAGGAAAAAGGGCATCTGACATTAAAAGCGAATGCGAACGGTGGGGGACTAAAGACGAAATGCTTTTATTCACTGTGACATTTTTCATGACACCATTAAAGCGACAAGAAAGCACCCCAAATAGCTACAACCAAGCTTAAAATACGAAGGATGAACATGTAGCGACAAGAGAATTGTTATCATCTTTATTTAATCGACATCGAAAGTTCATTCACAATCTAGCAAAGTACAAAAGAAAACTGTCGGTGCTTTTACACAAAAAAAAGGGCGAGAAGAATTATCGATACGCAAATTTGTGGCTTAAATATTTATGAATGAAAGCTTTTTATTTAGAATTGTTTAGGACAAAAACTTTGCTTTTTCAACTCATGATGACAAACCCTTGGAGTCTTTTGTTATAAATGGTTGAGATTAATGATTAGAGCCATTGTGATTTTGCAGTTAATTGTGTTTTGTCGTTTTTTATTGTAATGAAATTTTGACTTGAAAATGGATTTGGAACAATAAACTTTAAATGAATGTTGTTATCATTGATAAGTAACAAAACGAATCTACAAAGTCTAACGTGCCATGTAGAAATGATTGAAAGTCAATCTAAATAATCAAAACGAGAAATATTTCATGCATTTTGCCATAGATACGAGAGTTCAACAAACTACAACGTTCGTGTATGGGAATTATTGGAACCTTTGTTTCCAAATAGCACAAATGAAAAATTCGTATGCGAAAATTCAAATTAAATGTAAGTCTATGAAAATTCGTTTCTGGTGAAAAATGTAAATACTTTCTATAGCAACGGTGGATGGCAAACAAACAAACTTCAATAGCACCGAAGCAACTCAGGTAGAACAACCGGTATCAGTGCATTCTTTCGTCGACAGTTCAATAGTGAAATTCATACAACAAACAACGAGAGGAAACAATTTTCCAACATTTTTTTAACCTGCTTGTTGTTGAATGTTAAATCTAATTTCCACATACTTTTTCAACAGAATTTATTCCATTGTTGTGTTCTCTTTTAGACTTGCCAAAATTCCAAGTGCAATCAATAGACAAGCCAATACAAAAGATAAAATTAAAATATAAATATTTGCTGATCGAGTTCATTTAAAAATTGTCGGAGTTCTGGAAAATATTAAATCAGGAATGAAGAGATAAATCTGAGAAAAGCTTTAAAAGCCTCAAACAGTGAAACATTTTTGAAATCGTAGGAAGCTTTATTAAATCTCTAGACATTTTTAGTCAAACAGAAAAAATCTGCAATCAACGTTTTTAATTTTCATTCTTCTAAAACACGGAATAAATAAAATTCCGTAACAAAAATTCTTTTTCAATTAAACGAGTATAAAATGGTGGTTTTGTCTCTATCTAAAATGTATTGTTCGGAGCAAATTGTTATTCCAGAAAAAATCTCAAATTTATTGAAAACATATGCGAAAGGTAAAAAAATTCTTTTTTAAATAAATTTTTATACATACGAAAATAATAAAAATCTAGAAAGTTTTCGAGATGTGTATGCAATAAAAGCGTCATGCGATGCATTTATAGCAAAACATTGTGTGTTGGAAAATCTTTCAAGCGTAGATGCTCTTAACTTTTGTATGAAAATAATTTTTCTTCCTGTTTTCACATCCATTTCGTCATGTGGATGGTTAAATTTTGAAAACAAAATATTGTCAGGAATCTTAACATTATCAATCATTATTAAAGGCGTTGCAAACATGTTTAGATTGTCGGGAGAAATAGCAATGATTGCGAACGAAAAGTTATGACATTCATGCATTTCCTTCACTGTTTTGTCGTTTATTCTGTTCTATTTTCCGTATAAAACATTGTTCTTTATTCCCAACAGCTGCACTTAAAACTCAACCTTATGATTTATTGCGTTGGTCAGCTGCATATTTTAGATGTCTCTCTTTAGATGTTTTACCGCCGGTTAAACCACGTTACGAGCATGAAAATGTATTTGGATGTTTGACAAAAGGTTACTTAAAGGTTCTCTTAAGTCAGGTAATTGTTCAATGTGGGCGGAGAAGGCGACATGTTTCATATCGTTACATCTTGTCTTTCCGACAGTGAAGACAATAAGTTAATTATGATTCATGTTACATTTTAATCATGCTTTTTATGCTTTACTGTTGTTGACCTTTTCTCACCCTTTTTTATTTAACTTTTTAAACATAATAATTCAACAAACATCGGGAAAACTCTCAATACAAACTCCTACATTTGTTAAAAGGTTGGAAAAGGCTTTTTCATTCGACGAGATGTTCTCGAGCATCGTTGGAGCGGATTATGCTTGCCAGAGGTACATTTGTTAATGCTTGTAAATTGTTTTCATTAACCCTTTTAATATTCTTCGAATAACTCATTGAGCTCATCATTTTCTCTTTTTCTGGATTTTCTTAAGCCCTGATTTTACTGACGAGTTTAATCTCGTAAATTTAATTGATCGCAATTTTTCTTTGTGCTCGTTTTGCTTTTCGCTTTACAGGATGAATTACTTAAATTTTTGTCCGTTACGAGAATGCTTTACTGGCCTCAGGTTCATTGGCTAAAACTGTTGGCGGTGATGGTTGGATCCATTAATCAAGTGAGTTGTCTTTTCCTTTTGTCTTATAATTTCTTTTATATTGTGTATTTTTCTAACATGTTCATCATTTCTTATTATCTAAATATAATTTGAAATTAAATTTAAATTACTTTTTCCGTCAAATCCAGAGTTTTAAGGAAACAGTGAACATGCTTTGTGAACTTTTAACTGATGAGCCTGAGGGCGGGTCTTCACCAATTCCTTTATGGATTTTTCGTGAATGTTTCAAATATCTTGCTGAGCTTGATTGTAGCGCTGAACAAACCTTTTTCGACGGTAGAAAAGTTTTGTAAGGATTAAATCACAAAAGTTTTCAAATTGTTATTATTTATCTCTTTCAATTTTACACTTAAATCAGATCCGACGGCATTTTGGAAAACGAGATGAGAATGCCAAACATTCCAAAAAAGCTTTCAGCAGTTTCATTCAAAAATGCAATAATCGATTACTGGAAATTCAATGGCGAGGGAGTTGAGAAGGTGAAATTAAATTTCTTCATGATTCTATATAATTTTTATGACGCCAGCAAAAGTAAAAAACAACAACATAGAAAAGAAGAAGATTCCCAATTGTAGACGGGAAGCATTGGAGTTGTTAATTTGCTTTTAAAGTTTGGAAAGATTAAACTAAATAATTATCTAGGTTTCGGAAATTAAAAAGATTTAATGTTGTTCCGTTTCTTCTCTTCGTTCATTTTCATTTTATTTTTTTCCTTTTAAAAAACTTTGAAATTTTCCAAATATCTCATTTTTAATGGCCAACAAGCATCAACTCTGTCGCGACATGAAGAAAAAAAAATCAATTTGAAATTTTATAAAAAAAATATGAGAAATGCAGCTGAGCTTTCACAAGATTGTTATCGATTTGAAAGTTTGGTTTTTGCTTTATTCTTATAGAAACTGAATAAGTTTCAGAGACGCTGAAGAGCTTTTCTCTCTCATTCTTATTTCACAGACACCAGAATCTAGCAAAGTTGATCCGGATAACGTCAAAGATGAATCAAATGCCGCAACAAATTTCCCTAATCTCCAAATTGTATCCCGAACATCATCTGCTTCGTTGAGAGACGGCATCGAATTTCGCATCGTTGGAGATTTAAAAAATCCTCGAGAGATCATCAATCGTACGAGTGATTTCGAAAGCGTTATTGTTGTTCTGCAGCAACTCAAATGTGATGTTGATAGCGAATGTCGACCTGATACTCACGTTCATGAGAGCCAGCAAGTGGAAACGGAAGTGGAAAACATTTCTGATGAAATCTCAGAGTTTGTGTGTGACAACGAAGCACAAAATCACTTGAGCGAAAAGTATCGTAAAATGTTGAAGAAGCTTGGACCGCCTTGGAATTGGCTTTATGAGTTCGCAACTATGAATTGCAGTGAGATGTCTTATAATTACATTGAGTCGTTAAGTTTTGAAGTGATGAAACGTTCTGACGAAAGCAATGATGATATTGATGAAGCGAAAGTAGGTGAAATTCCATCGTCAATGTCAGAAATGTCTGGAATATCATATTCAGATTGCACACTGTTTGAATGTAACGAACAAATCAGCAAGAATCACAAAGTTTTAATTGATGCCATTTGCTCGATTAGTGAAGCGTCTGACAATGGTGATTGCAATATCAAGGATACAAATTCAATTGGCTCATTCCTAGACGAGCAAATGTCAAAGCAGCAACTTCAACCATCTGACTATGAACGTTTACGGAAGTTCATTAGCAAAGCCGAAGAGCAGGGACTTGTGTTCAACGATTTAAATGAGCTTTATAACTTTTTCATTCAGGAATCATCACGCGAGAACATAAACTATGAAGTTGAAATTCGTGAGGAAGATGAAGAAGAAGAAGGGGAAGTGGAGAATGTAATTGCCACAACAGATGCTACTCAAGTTGAAAACAAAAAAGTTGAAAGAGAAATTAAAGACGAGAATAAACATGTCACTACAATTTTCAATGAAAGTGGGATAGAATTAGATGGTAAAACGTTGGATACAAAACTTTCAGAGCAAATGATTCTCGGCTTAGTTGATAAATTGCAATTTGAAGAGAACATCTCAGATGTTGCTTCAGCCATTTCATCCTCAAGTCAAGCTGAAACAATTCGAATGAATCAGAATAATCAAGAAGGGGCTCAATTATGGCCCCAGAATGGTAAAAAAGAGGAAAATATGCAAACGTCATCAACTTCTTCGATGAGTTACCTCGATTCACTGACTCATCAAAAAAAAATCCAAAGCAAACAAGTTGGAAAGTCAAAATCGGCATCATCCATCAAGCGTCAACCATTTGTGTGCAAGATACCGTCGCTACCTGGAATCGGTCCATCAATGAACAAAGAACGTGTTGAAAAGATTCTCAGATTTATATTTCATCGATCATTCAAACAAGGCGGTCTTGTTTATCCTCGAAATTTCTCTGAAGACAATTGTCCAAATATGATGACAGAATGATGAATCAGTTACAGGCTTCTTAAGTAAATTTTCTTTCATCTTTCTTCCTTAAAGAGTGTGCTTAGATTGAATAAAAGAGAAACTGTGACGTAAAAGATTGTATAATCATGTAATGTGATGCTTAACAGCAACAAAAAGGCGTGAAAAGACGGGAAATATCTTCTCCCCTTTCCCCAACTTTAAAATGCCTTGTCATTATAAATTTTCCCCCCTTCTCGCTCTTCATCCGGCAATAAATTCTTCTAACCACATCATCATCAACAGAAGTAATCTTCACAATACATCCTCAATACTCTAAACATCTTTTGTATGTGCATGCTTTTATATTTCACAACGCAGGAAGAAAATTGCTTTTTCACGAGACGAAAATATTGAACGAAGGCATTCAATAATGTTTAATACTTCGACATAATAAATTGCGTGAATCAATATCGAGGGAGGAAAAATCTATTTTAAGGAAGTTTTTTTGTTTCTTATTATTTTGCTTGAGGCATGCCATTCTTGAAAATGAAGATAAATTTTCATGAACTTTATCGGAAAAGAGATTTTCTTTCAATACGATAAAGATATTTCTTTGTGAATTATATTTTATGTTATGTCTACACGAGTAAATAAAATATTATTGCATGGTTGTCGGAAGTAAATTTTAATTTATTTCTTAGCAAATGAAAAAAAGCTTTCGATTAAATGGTTTTAACAATGAAACGTGTTTAAAAGTTTTTCAACATTCATCAATAATGGAGCTTTAGTGAACTGAAAATGAAATTAAGTTTCTTAAGCTTTTTAAGCTCTTTTGATTAAGCTCTCGCTGATGAACTGACGATCAAAACAGAATAATTATTTCAAATTCAACTGATAACGATTGCATAATTTAAAGAATCATTTTGAATTACTTTAGAGTTGAAGTAGAGCTTGAATGGATTTCTTATCTAGCTTATTTTATGAGAAATTCGAGAACTTTCGCAAACATATCATTGAAAATTATTGAGAAAAGTTGAAATAAAAAAAGCTTCATGGTTTGAAAAAAAAATCTTTTCAGCGTCAAAATTGCTTTATCAAGTGTTAGATTAAAACTCTGTTTTCCTCTCCATAATAACACTTCAGAGTCTTCATGTTTTCTTCGCTTTCCTCATCTGAAAGTTCATATCTAAAATTTAAATTGTGAGAACAAACAATGAAGCGAGCGAAAATATTTAAAACGAACTCAAAATCATAAAAGTGAAAGAGGTGAGCAATAAATATGCATTAAGTGCATTGTAGAGGAGAGCTTTTCGAGGAGATTATTTTAAGTCCATTAAACTGAGCAATACTTGAAGTTTTATCCAGCAAACAATTTTCCCAACTCGAATAGAAAACTTTGGAAAAGTTTTCTCTGTGTAAACGATAAAATTACGATTCTAACTTTAGAACATGTATCTAGCATTTCTCGATATTTATTTGAAAGCTTTTATCGTTCCAAACGTTTATCGCCAATTTTACTTCAATGTAAATAAAATTCAACTTCAAAATACAAATTTTTTTCAGCATTGGGTGGTAAAGTTTATTTAGAGTGAAGCCGTTATTCATGACATTAAAAGATGAACTGAATAATGATATTTCGAAAACCCTCAAGAAAGTCATCAGTTAAGAAGATGGAAGGAGTTTCAGCGAAACTTTGTCTTTCCGTTCATAAGGAAGCCATCACCTGGAGAAACATTAAATGTTATTGAATCACGTGAAATGAAAAAGTCGTCCATTTTCATCACACAATTTTCAATTTACTTTTCTTCCACATCCGCACTGCTTTTTGAAAACATTGTTGACAATATTTTCATATCCTCAATTTGAAATTTTAATAAAGTTAGCGTTCAAATATAACATGAAATATTTTAAACTTACCAACAACTTGCAAAACGCTCGTGGCTGTTGCTGTATAGAAATTTGGAGATTCTGTTGTCACTTCGCATGAAATGTTTCCATTTAGATTAAAATCTACATTTCGTAGAGTAACATGGGTTGCATTTGACACTGACAACTGTTAAAGTGACGAAAAGTAAACAGAAGAAAAATCAATTAAACATATTTTAGCTTGTTTTATAACTTGAGGTTGTTGAGTTGATGGACAAGGCAATTAATGGAAAGTTGTAAACATTTTTCCAGCATTTTACAGAGATGAGAAGATAAATTTTTGTTAACACAACGTTTTAGCTCATTGTGAAAATATTTAATTATGTAATAATGCTGTGATAATTAGAAATTTGATATCTGCAAAGCAGGAGAATATTTTGTTTGAAGAAGGATTTATTAAGGCAATTAAATGATTGACATAAAGCAGCACATGTTGAAGAGCTTTAAACTGTTACGAAAAATAATCCTCAACTTCAACTTCCTGCTAACAATGTAAATTAATTCATTTGAATATTCAATTTTTAGACGACATGATGTGCATTTATGAATAAAACATTAAATCATTCAACTATTTACATTCAAGGTAAATTTCTCACGCGAAATGTTTTCAATATTTGTGCAATATAAATTCATGATGCTTTGTATTTGGATCGTTGATATTTACTTCAATATTTATACAATGAAAACGAAATGAACTTACATCGACTTTTATGCCAGTATTAAAAAAGAACGTTTTTCCAGGTGGATGTTCGAATGGCGTATATCTGTAGAACTCGAAAATTCCTCGATACCACTTAACAGAATAGAGTGGAATGTCGAACACTTCGTAGCTACAATGCAATTGTGCACTTTGGCCTCTTCTTATGACTTCCGGATAAACGGACAGAGTAAGATTCTTCAATCCTTTGCTTGCATCTGCAACGATTGAGAGGAAGAGAATTTCAATAAACTTTTATTACAAATGAGAAAACGTTTCCTTTTTATTTTCTCTGTTCAAATTTCCTGTTTGACTCGAAATAAAATTTTATTTCGTTCGTTTTCCTTGAGATATTTGCAAACACAGTGAAGTGACTAGAACATGAGAAGTTCTGTGCTTTTGTAAGCAAATTAACAGTTCAAATGATGTCTTGGAAGATGAAACCGAGAGAAATTTTCTTAATATTGTTTTCAACTGTCATCAAGATAAATTCATCTGAAATTCAAGCCAACTTTCTCCATGTTTAACAAAAATCTCTTCAATAGCTTTTCATAAGAGAAAATGTATATAAAAATCTTTAATCGCTTTCTTTAAGCTCACGTTGTGCCTTTTGGATTTCAATCCCTGCTCGTTTTCATTCTACAATTTTTTTTTCTTTATCCCTCCGATAAATCTTGATAAGACATTTTGTCAATATTATGCAATGTGAAATCGAAGATAAAATCTTCTTTTTCTTTATAAGAAAAAAATGTTTCCACGGATGGAAGAGGAAAATCAACAAATTTCTTATGTTTTCCCAGCCAATTTTCTTTCATAAAAAAGAAGCAGAATTTTAAGGAAAATGACATTCAATGTTTATCGTTTAGAAATGATTTTTTGTTAGAATTTTATTAGATGGTTGGAAACGAATATCAACAAAGATATCTCATCGTACATGAATGATTCAAATATCATTTCAATGGAAATGACTTTTATGTTTCTTCTTTCACAATAACATCAGCATATTTAGTCGTCTACGCAATGATCTGCGACAAGGGTTGAGCATTTCACATAAAGCTATGAAAGTAGTTTTTAGAAATGCTTTAATGTTTGAAAATTCTTATTCTAATGTTCAACAAACAAGCATTTTTCTGTGGAAAATCCAGGTGATCATCATATCAATCAGGATTGTTGAAACGTCAATTTCAAGATTAATTTGTAACAACATAATATTTTCTATCATAACTGTTACCATGTCGACTTAATGCTTAAGACGGTGAACTAAATACATTCAACGTTTTAGACAACATGAAACATCAAGGGATTTCAAATTTAATTTTAAACTTTACTCTCAACCCATCTGATAATCTTTTTTGATATCTTTTCCCTTGTTATAAATGTCATCCTTAATAAATTCATCATTAAAGCTTGGGCCAAACACAAAACCATTAATTTTGATTGTTTGACAATTTACGTTCTAATGCTCCCCAAGCGTATTCAACATGGTTTGACTTCTTGATGCGTGCTTTTCATAAATGAGATTTGATTTATTTTTTTCCTTTTTCCACATCCCTAAATTTTCGTCTTTCTTTTTTTATTCTGCTCTCACATTGTAAAGCAAAAAAAAACCGATAGAGAAAGAAGAAGAAAGGGAAGTGATGTATGTTACGTTACATCTCGTAACATCTAAACTATTGTCGACAAATATTTTCCCATCTATTTATTCACTCAGTCAAATCGTTGCCGACGTCGTCTTTTGCCGCTATCTCAACATAACCGATGCGTGTTTACAAATGTGATAAAAAATCAATAGACAACTTACTCGTAAATGTAAATAACAGTAGCATTACAACTGAGTTCTTAAAGATGATTTTATCTTTCTCCGACTTCATTCTTGGGAAATTTATTTATTTCTCCTTCCACTACTTGTCTACAACTTTGATATATGATTTTATTCTCTCGAGTTGATGAGACAGAAAACTGAATAAAAATTTGTGAATCCTTTAAAGAAATCAAAGTTCAGAGATGTAACGTTGGAGAATCTTCAGTTTAAGACTGTTTGATTTGGGTTGTTCATCCATTTAGATTATAAAATACAAAGTCAGAGGCATCAAGGTTCTTGAATATTTATCTCAATTCATGAATATAGATAAGAATAAGAATTGGTAAAAAGTTTTTGCCTTCTGACATTATGTCACTTCTTTCTATTTTTTACAAGCACTTTTTTATTCAAACTCCTTCTTCACAACCTCAAGGGCTTCCATGCAATGTTATGAACTGTCAGTGACTCTGCTGATTTAACACTTTATTCACTTTTACTTATTTATTTATCTTTTTTTTTTGCTTCCAACAATTTTTGTTTTTATCTTTCAGCGATCCTGTAAAAAATTTCTTTTATTGTTTTTTTATATTTTTCTTTTTGTGGAAAACTTTTCCTTGGTTTCAGAAAAAGAAAAGTTAAAAATCGTAAGAAAAGCACAAGAGAAAAAGAAGTTTTCATTTTAAAATCATCCCTTGCTCATTAGAAATCCCGCAAGAATATTTTCTTTAATTAAACTTTGACTTTGCCATAAACACCCTCTTGGCGAGGAAAAGGGAAGCACAGACATTCAGAAAAAGTAAAGTTCTCTGTTGCTCTTGAAGTAAATGGCAGAAATATGAAAGCCATAAAAGTATATCATTGTAATTAACTTTCTTTCCTCTGTTGCCCTCATTTGCCATGTGAATGTGCGTCTTAATTAAGAAAAGAATCTTTTCATTTTATTGCACAATAGAATCATGAGCAAAGTTATGAATTTAATTACATATTTGGCTATTTATAAAATAAAACTAATTAAATAGTCGTCTATGAGTGGTGAAAGAAAGCACATGTTATGAATTTAATTAGAAAACTTCTCACTGTATTAATTCAATGTTTAAGTTATTAATTACGGAGGCCCACCTTTGGTGAGGTCACCGTATTGTATTCGACATTTTTTTTTGGAAAATTTTTTTTGCTT